AACTTTTGCTTAAATAAGGGATATTAAGAGAAATTCATACTGACCATTTTCATCTTCTTTTTAAGGTCCAGGTTTGCCTGTTGGTATCCCTTTGACACTGTGTTAAGGTAGTAGATGGCCAACCTGTTACACAGTATAAGTCTTTTACTGTGCCACTGCAGATGGATTAGATTACAGTCAGGCTTTGCACACAGTGATAGATCATATTGTTCTGTCATTTTGTTCTGTGTTTATGTACATGCACCGATCATGGAAATTTTAAGGAAATTTATATTTTGTCTGGGTGCCATGACGTGTGCTACTTCGCCTCATCAGTTACAAGTTTAAAAGAACTGTTGTTAAATTCATAAGCTGCACAGGTAGCTTATCTGCTCTTTGTTATCTACCCAAACGTAATGTGATAATGTCAGAGTGGAAACAAAACACTGTTCGCAAACACTGGTTTTCTTGCCAGAAAGCTTAGGGTGAGCAAATAAAATGCCACTACACTGAAAAGCAGCTAATGAATAGCCTCCTGAAACTTAAGCTGCCTGCTTAGATATACCACTCCAGGGCTCAGGCCAGCTACATGCATATGAGAAAGGCAGCACAAAAAGTATCCGCTGTAGCCACCTGCCACAGGGTATGCCACAAAAACAAATGGAAGAATGGAAAATTCAAAATACTGAGCCAGGTGTAAAAAGCAAGAAAGCTAGGTTGGGTTTGTCTGCAGGGAAACTTGTTGCTTGTGAGAAGAGATGACAGAGATGTTTGTACGGCAACTACCACAAAAAATATTCACAAGCATGTGTTTTCCCCATTAAGAGCTATAACAAGGATAAAGACTAACAAAAAAAATCCACAGGACAGCACACATGTTTTATTTGTGGATTTAAATTTAAATGGAGGATTAAAGCTGGTCCTTTCTTTAGGAGCACCTGTACAGAAACTAGACCTGCCAGCTGACCAGAGTAATTTAATTTATTAAGAAAAGAGATTGTTTGTTAACTGTAAAATGTGTTTGCTTACTTGACCACATCTTCACCACAACTATAGATGCCACCGGTACTGCTTTTGTCCTCTTTCCCTGCCCTCATCCCCAGTCGGTTGCGGCAGATGGCCGCCCCTCAATAAGTCTGGTTCTGCCTGAGGTTTCTTCCTGTTATAAGGGAGTTTTTCCTTTCCATTGCCTGTTCATAAGGGGTCATCTGATTGTTGGGATTTTCTCTGTATTATCGTAGGGTCTTTACCTTCCAATATAAAGCACCTTGAGGGGACTCTTGTTGTGATGTGGGGTTAAAGTGAATTCCTCAAAATCAGTGCCACTCAGTTAGGACAATGTGATCCGCCACACCACAAAATCAGGAACAGATAGACACCTTAAACTCTCTCTACTCTCGGAATTCTTCAGATCCCAATCTGGGTGAGTATCTGACAAACACACTCCATAGAGACCAACCAAGACTACCCTCCGATTATCACGGCCCACATTTTCACTGTACTCCTCCAAGAAAGGCTGACTTTTGCTGCCACTGTGTGGTAGTGTCAAAAAAGACAATGTAAGGGTAACATCACCACATTATCAGTATTCACTAAGACAGAGACAACTGAAATGCACACAATTTGTTTTTCTAAATAAATAATAAGGTGTAGGCAACCTTAAATATATTAGCAGTGCACAAAAGGATTCATTTGTTTTCT